AAAGTCACCACTTTGTGCGCGTCCGTACTACGCCTAGTTGTTCAGGATTGTGCTGTGAAATTCAAAATTACATTAACATAAATTACCTGCATGATATTTACATCGACTTGTCTCATGTAGACAATGTAAATTTTATAAATTAGATGTCAGAATGCATAGGTCACTTTCAATTTTTTTAAATAGGATATCGCGACGACAAAAGGAAAGGAGAAGGAAAAGTATTGATGTCGCCAATTTGGCAGCACTGCGGAAACGTAACGGGGGGGGGGGGCAGGGAACATTAATTCATAGGTTAACGTTTGATGCGGCGATATCGTGCGTGTCTCTCGCGCCCGGAGATATCGCGCGACACATGGAGAGAACGATGTCGGAGCAGGCGGCTTCGCAGACGCAAACGGAAACAATCTCCGAGCCGGACGTCACCGATTCCGGATCGCAGGTACGCAATGCTCGTCGCGGGGGCCCGCGGCGACGGGACAGCTCGAGGTGTTCCTCGCCTCGACGCGATAAGAGCTTATCGCGGGTGTCGAAAGGCGCGCGACGTGCGTGGCTGCTTTGAATATCATTTAATCCGCACGGCTCGACGTGCGATTGCCGTAATTTTTTTTTTTATCTCGGGCGTTACGCGGAAACCGCCGCGTCACATCGGTTACCGCGGGCGAGGTTACGCGCCGCGGTGGTTATCTCCGGATATTCTCGAGGCCTTTTAGAAGTCTCTCTCGTTCTCGCGAACTGTCGCTCATTCATTTCTCGGCGAGCAGTGTCCAATGCAACACCCAAGCCCCGTCAAGCCTTCGTCTCGCGAACTACGTTTCAAAGAGAAAAGCCCAAGCGCCGACGCCCACTCGTCACAACTGGGTACGTCTGAACTGCGCTTCTATCTTCGTCACCCTGTTTTTATGTCTTCTAATTGATTCTAATTAATTTCAGATTTCTTCCGTCGAAAGTCGCACGGTTGCCCTCGGTATCGGGCGTCGCAGTCCTGTCGGTTATTATTTAACCAAGTTCTTTCTCAATAAGCGAAGGAGTTGGAGTTTCTGAATTCTTTGTGACTCGCAGCGAATAACCTAGTCTTGGACACAGCACATTGTTAGTCGAGCATAACGGCCTCTGAATAAGAATCAGAAAGGCAGTATTTTTATCTAATTTACGTTTCAAAGTAATACGTCGCGCAACAGCCGCCAATCTCGACGCGATGCGCGAAGTGCTCGCGGCTCGCGTGCGAGCCCGCGCGGCCGGCGAGAGGTTTCTCTCGAGCGCACGCGAGTTCTGCACGGCCGCCGTGGACAGTCGCTCGCCGTTGAACGGCATACGGGTGTTGGATCTCACGCGGATCGTCGCCGGGCCTTACTGCACAATGATCCTGGGTGACCTCGGCGCGGAGGTCCTCAAGATCGAGCGACCCGACGGCGGGGACGAGTCGCGCAAGTGGGGCCCGCCGTTCTTCCGCGGGACGCGAGAGTCCACCTACTTCATGAGCGTCAACAGGAACAAGAAGAGCGTCTGCGTCGACCTGAAGAGGGGCAGAGATGTGATTTACGAGCTGGCGCGGACGTGCGACGTCCTGGTGGAGAATTACGTGCCGGGAAAGCTGGCCGCCATGGGCTTGGGCTACGAGGACGTGGCCAGGGTGGCGCCGCGGCTCGTATACTGCTCGTTGACCGGCTACGGGTTCCACGGGCCGTACGCGAGTAGACCCGGTTACGACGTGATCGCCGCTTCCCTGGGCGGCCTCCTGCACATCACCGGGCCCAAGGACGGGCCACCGTGCAAGGTCGGCGTAGCGATGACCGACCTGGCGACAGGGCTGTACGCTCACGGAGCGATTATGGCGGCTCTGCTGCAGAGGTCGAGGACCAACAGGGGCCAGTGGATACAGTGCGACCTCCTGTCGACTCAAATTGCAAGTCTGATAAACATCGCCTCGAATTACTTGAATGGAAATAAGGAGGCGTCGAGGTGGGGATCCGAGCACGAGAGCATAGTTCCCTACGAGGCCTTCCCCACGAAGGATGGATACATGACGATCGGGGCAGGAAGCGACGCGCAATTTATCGAGCTGGTCAAAAGATTGCAAATGCCGGAACTCGCTACCGACGGCAAGTTTGAGAATAATATAGCCAGAGTGAAAAACAGGACGGAGCTGCTCCGAATTCTTAGAGGTGCGCTCAAAGAGAGGACAAATCAGCAGTGGTCCGCGATACTCGAGGGCGCCTCGTTTCCTTACGGCGCAGTAAATACGATAAGCGAGGTGAAATAAACAGCCTGAACCGATATCGATTATTTACAACGTGAAAATCACATTTTCTTCAACCGCGGCCTGTAATTTTCAGGTGTTCGACGATCCCCACGTGAAACACACAAAGTTGGTTCGAGAAGTGGATCATCCAATTGCGGGCAAAGTGAAACTTGTCGGGCCACCTGTAACATACAGCTACGCTACCAATGTAGTGCGATCACCGCCACCGACGTTGGGACAACATACATTACAAGTTTTGAAAGATATACTAAACTATTCCGATGATAAAATAGAAAGTTTAATAGCTCAAAAAATCGTACGATAATTTATGAGCACGAGTCCCTTTCTATGTTTATACAGCAGACAGATGAAAAATCCTGTTTAAATAAGGTCTGCTTTATATATAGTTATTATATATATTATATATTGTATAGTTTACTCCTGTACATCAGTTTTATATACTTTTACATTGAATTGAAATAACGAATATTTCATAATATTCTATATTAATCGAATTTCAGAGTAAAATACAGTTTTTTGGGGGTACTTTTGATAATAATGGCGATGAATGTACATAAGATTGTTATATCAAGATGTATTTTATTGTATTATGTGCATATATGTATATTTTAAGATTTGTATCTTATTATATATGTATTTTAAGACTTAAACATATATTACTTATAAAGCGTGCACAATGAATAAAAACTTGTAAAGTTTATTTGTATCCTTTTATTTTTACATTAACTCAATTTTACTATGTTGTAACAAATATCTTTTCTACAATCATCACTTATAAAATGTGACTAATGATTAACTTTGTTACGTCATTAAAATGTTCAATTTCTTTTCACCTACAGGATGTGCCTACGGTACGATTACGTCTACGAAAGCCAAAGTCAAATAAGAAGGTCCAATGGACTCAGGGAACTGTAGACAATGAAAATTTAAATAAAAAGAAATCAAAATGTAGGTACTTTTTATTTCTGTGCAATATTTTAAGCTTATCTGACGAGAAGAGTATTAACTGCACGATGTCTTGCTTACAGGTTGCTGTATTTATGAGAAACCAAAAACTTTCGGTGAGAGTAGTTCTGAAGACAGCGACGACGAGTGCGAGCATTGTCATGGGCATAAGGATGCTCACAAGAAGGTCTTACCTAAAGCTGGTGATCCTACGCGAGAAGGAATGTCGTCACATCCTGGTAAACTTTTCCTAGTAAATTACATATGCATTTCTATCAACATATTCTTCTCATATCCTGTCTCATATCTTTTTCTTACAGAACCGATCGCAACAGGTTCAACATAAGTGTTTTTATGCTTATTGACAACTTTTCCCTAAATGGAAAATAAATTCCTTTATGCTACTTCTCGAGTCAATGTCACACAGAGAAAGATGATAGACTGTAGGTAAGTAATTTTATGTATACGTACGTAACGTCGAGAAAATATATTAAAGCGTAACATAGATGATATCATGCTGCTTTATCATTTTAGGTACACAAATTTTAAGTATGATTTTGCACTAGTACATATATTTATATTACAGTGCTTTAACAGTGTCGCACAGAAGATTATCAAGTGTCGTTCAAATTTTGAATTGTTATACAGGTCGTAATGCCCTGTGAACAGTAAATTGTCCATTCTTTGGAAAGTAACTTAATCATTCCTTATATATTTATCTCTGATTTAATGTTATTTGCTCTATATTTACCATCTGTTATTTACTATTTAATATCTAGTATAAGGAGATCCAGATTTTATGTGCTCAAGTGTACGTATATATTGTTATTTTGTGTCTTGTATTAACAATCTAATTACGATAGTAGGTTAGATTATAGCTTCGTTTCTCCACCCCACGACGTTATCAATTGCAATAGTATTGGTTCGTGTATCTCATCGTTCTTAGACTAATTGTAAATTTAGAATCATTTTCTGATACGTGGGATAATTAAGGATATATCAAAATTTTACCTTCGTTTGAGAGATTTATTACATTGATAATCTTATGATACAATTACTCCACAATACAAGCTCAAAAAAGTGAAATAATGTATTACAAATTACGACATGTGCTGTCGTACAAGTATAACTAAATTAATTACGTCTCATTACATACATCAAAAACAAAAAAAAAGATACAAAATAGTGCACATTTACATTTATATGTCTTGTTTCCTGTATCTAATGTAAGCGTAGGTAGATGAAATTTGTAAATATTTAAAATATACATAAAAGCGAAACAGAATAAACAAGAGAATCCGATACAGATTATACACGAAAATAGTTATAACCAGAGAGAAACTTAAAGTTTATTGCATACTTTCATCAGGTTTTAATTTTTTATTTCATTGAAAGGTAAATTTTAAAACTAGTTCCATATAAATCTTATGGATAACTTAAACTGAAATATATTCGCTATATTAAAAAATATCTTGAGAAATGATCAATATGTATACAATATGGGATAGGACAAATTTTGATCATTAAGTAGGTCATTGATCTAATGTTAACTTGTGAGTTGTGAAAATTGAAAAATAGTTTGATAGTAATTTTCGAGTGAATGATGTTTTAAATCTTTTGTTAGACATTTTCAAATTTTTCATCGTAACAGATGTCAACAATATATTCTTATGATATTCATTTTTTTAACAACATTTTTAGTAATTTTTCCTTTTTTTTTCTTCCAAAATAGAAGCACTCATTTGAAATTCTATATTATATGTATTATATTACCAAGAAATGAAAGTCTGTACATGCATTTGCATAATTCCAGATAATCAAAAAATATATTCTCGCCATATTTGTGCTTTTACGCAATAATAGTATTAATAATTCTGGACGATTTTGTATAGTATAACGTAAGTGCAAAATATATCTCTAAGATCTTGTAAAAATAAATGTCTAAATCGGAAATTTAATAGTTTTTAGTCAGTCAATGTTAGTACCACTTTTCTGATACTTGTGTCTCTTTCGCACTTCCATCCCCCTACGACAGGACTTTTCGTCTAAACCTAAAGCCTTCACCATAGCTCGACTCCGCCATATTTTAACTGTATAGTCGTCACTGGTAGTAACTAGCATTTCAGGATCGCGTGGATTAAAAGCTACCGAATTGACTACATCGCTATGGGGAAACTTTGCTAGGCAGATTCCATAATGTCTATCCCATAAGTAACCATGTTTATCTTCCGCACCGCTGCAAACAAAGATATTTTCATAGCAAATGTTTCATATTTTGAAACTGTACGATCTTACGTCAATTTAAATTAACAAATTACATCCAAGCGTGTTAATTACCTTGCTACGTATTCGTTACATACATCCAGAAATATAAAGAAACACTCATTATTAGGCGTGTATGCTTTGTGTGCTCTTAACATCGTGCCAACTTGCTTCAGCGTTACCAAGTCGATTACATGGATATCGATTTCTTGAGCTATCGGCGGTGGTTGTAAAGGATTGGTAATCACGTAACCCTTCGGCCACGGCCTTGTGTTTACATAAAGATATCTGGAGACATGCACAATGAGTTACATACAGCTGGAGCATTACTTATTCCACTCAACTACGTCGACAACCGACCTATGATCTGGAGACAGTCCCATTCCAATAATATGACCATGGAGATCAATTAGATGATCTATTTTATCGAATTTGTCCGCCACGGCTTCATAATTTAACCAATCTTCCACCGACGGTGTATCCTGCCTCTCTCGCTCCCTCTTTTGTTGCGCTATTCTCTCACGCAACGATGGTCCCGGATCCAATCTTCGTGGGAAAGTGACTAATTTGATTCTCTTAAAGCCAACTTTATGCGGGGTATATGTTTTTGAGCCAGTCGTAAAAATAAGAAGTTTCTCAGGATTATTAGCTAACTCGTCTGTATCACATTCTTCGGTTATTGAAGATTCTGTAAACATTTTTTCGGTCGATCGGTTACAGTTTCCTGTTGTCATTACGCGCGTGATCTTCCTACCTCCAGACTCGCTTTCTTCCTCCCACTGCAGATTCTCACTTTCGCTATCGCTTTCGTGCACGTTTCTCTGCATCTCAACCTGCCTATATTCCTGATTGTACTGTATAGGGCTAGCGTATTCAAAGCCATCACCAAGTTTTCTCCAATTCGAGAATGCACCTTCCAATTTACTATATCTATTACATGTGAATGTAATCAACTACTAATAAGGATACATGAAAGTTATGCATATGTACACTAGGAATCACTGATGCCTTCTCATATGAATTTAAACATATGCGGAACACACATACATTTCCCATGTATGTATATGCAAAATGTATAAATGTGTTGATATGTGCGCAAATTTATGTGGGAAGACATCGGCGATCTCTATTGTACAATGAAACAAAGAAATTCGCACTGTATTCTCGATGACGTAATGTAGTATACCGGTTCCTCCTGATCCTGCGAGCTGTTAGACTCGTCCGAAGGCGACAGCAAGTCCTTGTGACTCGGCGGATTTCCTTTTTCTTCCTTCGTATTCGAGGAAGACGGTTGGCTCTGTTGTTCGTTGGATTCAGCTGGAGCAGGCGCTAGACAATTTGCGACCATAATCGCCCTAATCGAGGAAGCATTTCCATTGTAGAACCTGAAAATTATTACAAGCACGTGAAACAGATATTATAACTTATTTAGGAAAGTTTGCCCACGTCTTTAATAGGAAGTTAAATTGGTCGATTGAAAAGATATACCGAGTTGACATTTTTTTTACCTAAAAAGCTGCGACATAATGGGTACATGCTCGCTAGCTGATTCCTGGTTTGCCTTGTTGAGCCAAACTACGCTAGTACTGACCAAGTGTGCCAGCCAATGCAGATTTCCACTCAAAAGGTAACGTTCGCTGTACCATGTACCAAATATGTCGTATGGCTTATTCACTACTCTGCACTGAAGGTCAAAGCCAGCTGCAAATAAACAGAAAACACATGAGCCATTATTTGAACAAGATAATCGATTTTTTTTATCACAACCTGTATCGTCAGATAATCTTGTTGACTCTTCAGTATCTACATCGTACAATTATCTTATTGATACACACGCGAGACCTTAATTTCTTGTTTGCACTTACGTGCTACTCTGAATACTGCTATTTCTCCCGAGGTACTGTGCGGCGTACCAAAATGAACACCCGACACAAGAAGCAACGTATCTGTACAATTAAACTGGGAAAATTGCGTGTACTTCCAACTAAACGCCTTCATGTCGTGCATATATTTTATGGTAACAGGATACTGACTTTGCCATACCTGAAACAAAGGCGCGTAAAGTGATAAATGTAATCGCAATTTGAAGGAATAAAGGAAGAGCCAAGACAAGACGATTTTAATTCTTAAATTTGAAGACTCCCGCCTGGTGAGAGGAAGGTCCAGGTTCAAACCTTGACGTCGGAGCCTTATGAATTTTAATGATAAATGTAAAATGGCACGAGGCTTACAAGAATATACCCATCCTTTGAACAGGTCGCAAACATTTTGCCATTGTGAGAGAAGCTCACGTGTAAGACCTGATGCGAGTGCTCTTTAAGAACTTCAGTTTCTATCAATGGGGTGTGATATGCCAAGCGTTTGAATTCTCCCAACCAGGACGTTTTTCCTACAAAAAACAAATAACGAATATTAGATACATGTACACATGTGCGTATAAATTAATTAACGTGAGATTTCTCTATGCCATTCTCTACGCACATAACAAGTTTCTCTAGAATATCCTCGAGAGGTATAAAAAATAGAATGTACTTTACAGAGCCGGGACTAGATCTTTCGGCGCCCGAGGCCAAAGAAAAAAAAATGCGCCCCTTATTAGCGGCGAAAGATATTTCTTTTATATGCGGCATAGAAAATATAAAACAAGTAATTTTAATTAGTCATATTTAATGTATTAATTTTATCAGAACATCTGATGATGTATACAGGTGTGCATTATAAAAATTTGTATTGCCATTTTTTCCGCCCCTAGAAATCTTTTACACGAGGCAAGTGCCTCGTTCGCCGCACCCCAAGTCCCGGCTCTGATATACTATTATGCATAAGATTGTTTTGCAAGAGTATACGAAAGAAAAGTAGCATTATAAAAAAAGTGACAATAAAGACTGCTACTAATCCCAAATTGGGAATTTACCGTCGCAAAACCTATTTAAATCGCTGCTACTTGGCGCGCATCTTTCTGTTTAAATACTGTCCACTATTGCTGCTCTCTCTCTCTCTCTTTCATTTGTCGTCCTCGAATGCCGTACGCAGAATCGTTATTCGATTCAGACGAAGCTTCGCTCGAATCGAATCTTCTCGGAAAGCGTACGGCACGAATTTGTATCGCCTACGTGCAACATCCGGCGGAGAGTGTTATTTTCGATCGCGTGAAAGCGCCGTGAATACGCTCGCGTCGCGGACATACCTGGCACGATGCCGACATCCGGATCTATCTTGTAGGTCCGATAAAAGAGATACTTCCAGAGGAACTCGTCGCGCGACACCCTGTACCACGAACGGCAGACCTCGCTCGCGGTGGTGAGCTCCTTCGGCGACAGGTACTGGAAGATGCCCAGGAGGATCGAGTCCGACATGACGCACCAGCTGAGGCCGTCGTCGCTGTACTCGCTACCGCCGTCCAACTCGCTGGTGTCCGCGTCGGACGCCTGGTCGGCGGCCTGCGCGGCATCCTCGACGTCGTCCATCGTCGACGCGCGGCGGTTTATTTACCGGAACAGCTGATACCTGTCAACTACCGCGACGCTGCCGTCGCGCCAAGGATACGCCAACTCCAGTGAGCTCGCTCTACAACATACTGGAGCGAGGCCATCAACTACAGTCTGCTCGTCTTAACTACACTCACTGCACCGTGTTTCAGAGATTTTACGTTAAAGTGTAGAAAGTGCTACTAATTAGGAAGACGAGGGAAACACAGGCCCGTTGTATACTACACGAGGAAGACACAGTTTGGTAGCAAATCTGTCTCACTTTATCATTGGCCGCGTTCAGCAGACACAACTGTTGAGTGAGCGCTCAGTATGATTGGTTAATACTTTTAGATCCAGCCAATCATATTAAGGATCTAAAAGTGTTAACCAATCATACTGAGCGCTCACTCAACAGTTGTGTCTGCTGAACGCGGCCATTGTACTACCTTTCTAAAAACATAGTTCCTGAAGATGTTAGGTTGTGTGTTGCATGGAGG